CGGGATCTTGGGCACGCACGCACACGCGCCTGGCGTGAGTTTAAGCCACCGGGTCCGGGACTCGAACCGCAATCGACTACGTGGGAGTCCAGTGACATAGCCATTACGCTAACTGCTGGTCCCTCCCCCTCCTTTTTTAAACAGCATAGTAACAGGGTCCTATTACTGTTTCTGGGCGGTCAGATCAATTCCTTTTTTGTTAATTGTCTACAATAAAATTATAGTTCTTGTTCAATTACAAAAGTATTTGAAATGAAGAAAGCAGAAAAGCAGCACTTGGTATGCTACCATTCTACAACACACACTCAAGAAATAGGAAGAGGGAACCAGCAGTTAGCATAATGGCTGTCGTTGGACTCCCACATAGTCGACCGTGGTTTGCATCTCGGACCCGGTGGCTTAAAACTCACGCCAGGCGCGTGTGCGTGCACGTGTGCCCAAGATCCCAAGAGGAGAATGGAGGAGAAGGGACTGCAGCGTGGCCATCCCCCCAGGGGGGTGATTTCTCACTTTCTGTCTCTATGTCTCTCTCTGTCTGTCTGGCGAGCGCACCCGCCCTATAGCAAAAACCTCTACAAAAAAAAAAAAAATGTATAACATTTAAATGTCCACTAGTAATATAAAGAATAAAGTTGCTACATTCTTCACTTGTACAAATACTGTTGTGAATGATTTACCCACACCAAGGAAAAATAAGGCATCAAGACCAATACCACAAAGACCCCATTCATCTCTCTACTTGCCTTCAAGTTTTCAACCTTTTCTTCAAAGGATTTGAACGTTGGGGAGTTTCTTTGAAAAGAAAAATAAATAGCATGATTAAACATTGAATAAAATCTAACAATTTTGGAAATATCATTAGTTGATTATATTCCTCACCATTATTTTCAATCAGCAAAATAAGATGCGTTTATCTGTACCATATATGTGCAAGTATACAAATATATGTACTATGAAAAATTATCAATTTCTGATGTGATATTTCTACAGTTACACTTCTGAATCCATGAACAGAGCCAGTCTCTTCTTCTTGCTTTTGATTTTTAAAATTTTTTTTTATACAATCACTATATATCATTTAGCTTGTAAAGAGAATTTATCCAACATAAAATACACCTCGGACCAGTCCAGTTGAGAATACTATACATGTTACCATCAACAGGTAATAAACCATTTCTGTGTCCCACAAATGTCTTACAAAACAGAGCCAGTCTTAGACACCGGCAATATACAGATACAGTCAAGCACATGTGAGGAGAAAAACATCAGTTCTGTCACTTCCCCAAACAATTTGTCATGGTACAAGAAAATGCCACCATTAGGTAGGTCAATATAATTTTGGTTAAGGCACTATGCTCCAGAATTCCTGTTTAGATTCCCATCTTCCCTGTTAGGATTCCAACATGAACCCATAGCATTCAAGTAGAACAAGCACAGCAAATGAGGTTCTACAGCTGGAATCCTAATTCCAAGAGAGCAGCACAACGGATCAGGAAAGGAAGGAGCACATGGCCTTGCCTACTCACAACACTGCCCCAAATGTCAAAAAGAGCTCTCTGAGCTCTGGCAAGTGCCTTCACATCCATAAATAACTGCAGATGTCATGACACCTTTGGATCTCATCACAGGTTTCCAAAGCTTTTATCCTATCCACCTGACCTTGATGGAAAAAGAAAAAAGAGAATAAAGGATTTCCTCTTCCCACAAAAGTGATGGTAGTGCAGTATAAGCCAGTGGTTCTTACAGTGTGTCCCCCCATACTAGCCGCATCAGCAGCTCTTGGGGACTAGCCAGCAATACAGATTCTCAGGTCCAACCCCAGCACTGCAGAATCAGAAACTGATGGGAAGTGGGGCCCAGCAAGTGGGATTTGAAGGAGCCCACCAAGTGATTCCAATGCACACTTAAGTTTAAGTAACCACATGTCAAAAATGCTCTGCCTCTCTAGAGAAGTTAGGTGAGGTAAAAACACATAACACTTGCAAGGGCTTACTAATGGAAGCAGACCACAGAATTAAATCACAGTGGGCTCCAAATGTCGCTCTGGAACAAAGGAAGGGAAAATGAGAAGGCTGGAGAAAAACAGAGTGTAACCAAAGCTAATGCCAACAAAGGCAGTGGGACATCTGTATCCATGAAAAGAGAAGGTATATTAGATGAATACTCACTTTGCCAAGTACACAGGTTTCAGATATGAAACAAAACAATGGTTTTACAAAATAAAATAGAAACAATTCTTTTTTGAAACGTTATTTCATTGATCTATTGTACCCATCCCAATCTTAATAGGAAAAGAAATTGAAAATTGATACAATGTTAGGCAGCTTGTTTCAAGTAGAATTCAAGTTCCATACATCAGGACAGTTGAGATTAAACATGTAACTAAAGAACAAAGCCAACTACATCTCGTAAAAATATACTTTACCTCATAGCAGGCATGCTAATTGAATGTTGAATGGAGCGTATACTAAGAGGCAGCATTAAAAAGAGATAGAAATGAAGTTAGTACAGTGATCATTCGACACAAACGCCAACAAAACGTAGCTTTCTAGGAGCTGTATTCTTTTGGCACCATGAAGAATTATATACTTTTTGAGGCGGAGGGAATCAAAATTATTCCATAAAACAATTTACAAAGCACTTTGAAAACTGTAACATGCTTTCATCTGGAGCTGTAAGGCACACAGCATCGAGACTCAGAAGTTAAATAATATACCCAAAGTCTTGCCACAGTCCAGACTGAAATCTGGGTGCTCAGGGCTCCAAATTTGCTGTTCATCACCTCCCCTCAAAAATAAAGCGCACACATACATATAAACACACACACACACACACAACAAGCAAGGCCAGGAAGGGTTCCTGTAGCCATCTTTCTCCCAGATATTTGTTCACAAGCCAGGCAAGAAGATTCCAAAAGAAGTCACCTATCTGACACCTTTAAATAATGTTAAAATTATGTATCAGCCCTTAGAGGTAACAGTAATAAAAGACACTAGTACTTCCTTCCAATTAAACTAAGTGTTCTTAAAAGCCATTCAAATAACATCTGGCCCATGTCAACTAGGACCAGGTTCTCAGTGCAGTTCACAGACCATCATGTTCAAGGTTATCTACTCTTAGGCATTTCCCATAGACCACCTCACCAGATACGAACGCCTTAACCTTGGGCTTGAATAACACTGCATTCTGCTGGGGTGCTCAGGGCTCCAAATTTGCTGTTCATCACCTCCCCTCAAAAATAAAGCGCACACATACATATACACACACACACACACACAACAAGCAAGGCCAGGAAGGGTTCCTGTAGCCATCTTTCTCCCAGATATTTGTTCACAAGCCAGGCAAGAAGATTCCAAAAGAAGTCACCTATCTGACACCTTTAAATAATGTTAAAATTATGTATCAACCCTTAGAGGTAACAGTAATAAAAGACACTAGTACTTCCTTCCAATTAAACTAAGTGTTCTTAAAAGCCATTCAAATAACATCTGGCCCATGTCAACTAGGACCAGGTTCTCAGTGCAGTTCACAGACCATCATGTTCAAGGTTATCTACTCTTAGGCATTTCCCATAGACCACCTCACCAGATACGAACGCCTTAACCTTGGGCTTGAATAACACTGCATTCTGCTGATATTGCTAGTAATACTTTGCATATAATCTTTTGATCATTAGCAAAGCTTTTTTGGTGACTATTTTTTCTTTGGGTAAATCAGACATCCCAAAGTATGTATTCTCAATTATTAAAAACTATTCTCATATATTAAAAGTATTTTCTGTGTATTGATACATGATTTATTTTTGTCAGAGACGCCATTGTTACAAATGATAATATGTTTTGTGTGCAGCTTCTTAAATCTAGTCTTGCATTAATATGTTATAATATGGAATATGAGCTTGATATTGGTATGTGTATATATGTACATATATATGTGTATATATATGTGTACATATATATATACACACACATATACACACACACACATTATCAAAACATGCTGGCAGTCAGTGTAACCAAAGATAATCAGTAAACTATTCTGGAAAGAATTTGCTAATTCTTTTCCTACTTGATCAATCACAGTCTGTTGGTCCCGTATTTGAAGGATAGAGATTTAAAAAAAAAAAAAAATCCTTCTAAATTTACATCACGAGAATCCTGCTCACCTGCCCTTTCTCAGACCCTTGTAAAGAAGCTGCCTGAGAGAGATATAGCACCACAACCACCTTCTACCATAACTACTTAGTAACTACATCTATGGAGTACCACCCACCACAGCAAACCTCCTGGTGATCTACAAACTGTTTAGACTGGATAAAAAGAAAAAGGAGTTAAGACAATTAAGAGTCTTATCCTAGCATACCACTGGATCACAGCAGTCATGACGTATTTTTGCATAGAGAAAAACATGGAAAAATGCATCATGATTTTTCTGACCACCCAGCAAGATTAAGACACTAAGCTGCTAGCTCAGTTAGTGACATTTTCTTCAACTAGAAAATTACATAGACTTAGAAGTTGAGGAGGACTTTCCTGGATCAGTAAAAGCAGCAAGAACACAGAGGAAGCCAGTTCCCAAAGAATCAAATATAACCACAGAGAGAAATAGAGGAAATGAAGGGGCAAGGTTGACGATGCAGAGAACAAGCAGGTGGGCAAGGAACAGGTTTTTTGGTTTCTGGATGCTCTCCTGATGTCTATCAGTTTTCCAGTTAAGCTTGCTTCCTTTCCACCTCCTTGGACTATAAAAGAAGGTTTTACCTGTGCAACACATTTCTCTTTCTAGGTGAGCTAACTTTCAAAGCTTTCTGTTCCTAATAGCCAAAAGACCCATAACATTCATTTTGGCAGAAACTACTGTGTTCTGGCAAAAGAAGATGAGTAATGGCTGAACATTAATAAGCTGCTTGCTCATGAAACTTACACATCAAATTCTAGAGTACCAACAAAATGAGAAAATAGGTGGATAAAGTAATGCAAATTTCAGACATTCAAAGCTAATTCTAGTCACTGTCTCTAAGCACCCATGTAAAAGATCAGGTTGTGTTCCAAGCCACTTTAACCAGCAACACTCCAACTAAATAAATATTTTAATGATGTTTCTTTGTATATTACCACTTAAATGTGTGTAGTTCAATACTACCTCTGGCTTTGCATCAGAAATTGGAAATAACTTCTTGTCAGGGCTTTGACTGGAATGTCATATCTGGAGATATGACCAGAAAGTTATAGAACTAAGGTAGATCTCAAGAAAGCTCTTGGAAAGGTTGCCCGGCACCATAAATAGTTTTGCCTGGGAGAGAGGGTTAGAGAAGCCAGATGAAAGAATTTGTACCATAAAATAACCTGGACTTTTCTGGCCCAGCATTGTAATCAGTAGAGATTGCAGAAGAGCAGCTATAACCAGAGGATTACCTTCAGGAAGTCTCTGAAGGAAGAAACAGATTGATCTTTGCTAGCAGATGGTAAGCCACAGAATACCTGGTAGGCAGAATAAACTGGGAAGGTTTATGTGTGACTTGTACGCTGGCTGGTTCCTTTTCAACTGTTTGAGTAGTTGACAAGCAAATATCTTCTCAAAAATACTTAAGACCATACTGTCTGTTACAGAGTCACAAACAAAATTATAACAAATATTTGAAAGTTATCTTTAAAATTCAGTTTTTTGAGAGTTTAAGTTGTTTATCTATTAACTGTCAAGAACTATGAAGTATGAGCAAAAAAATTTTATATGTAAAGTAAATATGGGAAAAATGTAAAAAATAAAATTTTTAAAAATTACCCCAAAAAAGGACTATATCTACTCAAAACAAACAAACAAAAGTATTTATTTTGTGAAAAACCATTGAGTCAAATTTAGTTGGGAGGCACTTTTATGTATGTATTATATTTTACAATAAAAAAATACACCCACCGAACAGGTAACTAAAATCGGTTAACAGAGACAGACTCAAACTCAAGGACTCTGCTTGTGGAGTAGCCATTCTAGGAGGAAGGACGAAGAGCACGTACCAGTTTTCAATTCCATCCTAGCTCTTTGTTCCCCCCTATAATCTATATGATCTATATTTAGATAAAATGCAATTTTGTTGATAGCTAGTCTGTAATCTCACTGTTCTTTCATTTCTCGTCTCTCTACGAAAGGTTACAGAGCTTCAAATTACCTCAACTTACGTGCCATCTATCTGCAGTTTCTTTCAAGTTTAAACATGGGAACCTTTGGGCCGGCTCCATAGTGCAGTGGTTAAGTGCTATGCATATGGAACAGGATCCCAAATCGTAGTCCTGGCAGCTTGAAAAACAAAGCCAGCACATGTGGGTGTATGTCCACAACCCTGATGGGAAGGAGAAACGGAGGAAAAAGATTCGTGTCATGATCACACCCTGCTGAGTGGTGCTTCTTCTCTTCCTCCCTCTCTTCCCTCTTCCTCCCTCTCTGGCACATGTGCCCACTGGCAATTGAAAAAACAAACAAACATGAAAGCCTTCAAAAGCAAAAAAGTCATGTTGCTGCAGCACTAGTCATGTCTAATAGATAGGTTTTAAAGATCAGTTAGCATCTAAGGGACCAGCAGTTAGCGTAATGGCTATGTCACTGGACTCCCACGTAGTTGACCACTGTTGGAGTCCCGGACCCGGTGGCTTAAACTCATACCAGGCGCATGTGCGTGTGTGCCCAAGATCCCGAGAGGAGAATGGAGGAGAAATGATTGCAGCATGGCCATCCCCCTCTGGGGGGGTGATTTCTTGCTTTCTATCCCTCTATCTCTCTCTGTCTGGCGAGTGCACACGCCCTATAGCAAAAAAAAAAAAAAAAAAAAAAAAAAAACCTCTCAAAAAAAAAAGAAAAAAGATGTTAGCATCTATAAAGGAAATTTTATTAATATTTTTCAACCTTGATTTGTAATCCTCTGATAAATTGGATTATCAGAAAAGTCATAATGCATTTTGCAGAGAAAAACAGAAAAATAAGTCAAGACTTTTCCAACAACCCAATGTCAATCTGTAATTAAAGCAGACACAAAGCTGAGTTCCTCAAAACACACAGAGAAAAAAAAATCCAAGGACAACTCAGTTCTAAGTAATTCTCAATGTCATATTTACTCTTATTTTGAAATAGTTATCCTTTTAAGAAGCTGGATTCTTTAACATTTTCCTTGTTTTGTACACAGTTACTGGATCGTTTCAGTTCTAACCATAGTAAAAGGGGAGGGGGAGAAGGAGGTGGAGGAAAAGATGGAAGAGCCAACGGCTAGCAGGCTGGAATGCCAACAGTGCATTTAAGAGCTCTCTCCTCTTCCATTTTGCCCTCGCCAACTATCTCTTGCCATAGGTGAGGACTGCAATTACTTCCCAAAGCAAATACTGAACAGTGTCTGGAGGGACACTATCTTAAATTATCATTGCTCTCAAGGAGCACCGAGGAAGCTCTGGAACTAGGGTGGGCTGGGCTCAAAGTCCAGTCATCAGCCACTTACACGTCCTGTGCAATCTTGGGCAGGTCACTTAATCACCCTATTGCTCAGTTTCCTCATCTGCAATACAAAAACAGTAATAGAACCTACTCCTAAGGCACTAGATACAGTTTTGCCTGGCCTACAATTGTTAACCATTATGATTATAATGGATGACTTTAAATGAAACATGAATTAACACCTATTCATATTCGATCATATGCTCATAAAGCTTTCAAATTTCGATCTATTATTATTTGGGATGTTAGACCACAGCGTTAGAGCTAAAACAGTAGTACTTGGCATAGGTGAGCACTGAAAAATTATTTTTTAATAACATAATGAATGAATAATCTGTTTTGGTAACTAAAACTGGGAAATACTGACATGAAAGATAGAAAAGGTCATTAAAGCATTTCAAATTGTAAGATATTCTCTGATAAGAGTAAAGAGAGAATTTTTTCCCCATTAAATGGTAAAAATCTTCAGTAAAAAAGGAAATCCCCTGAAATGACTTCAATGAGCCCAAGACAAATTAAAAATATCTAGAGGTCTGCATGAGAAAACACACATTTAAAGAAAAAGTTAATAAGCACTTCCTCTTAAATATATCAAAAAGAGTAGACCAGTGAGGTAGTGAATTATTACAGTATGCCATTAATGGGCCGTGGTCACACCACAATCCTTTCTCCTCCATGTCTCCATCCCATCAGGACTTTGGGCATACATGTACTTGTGCCAGGTGTGTTTTTCACTAGGGCCGGGACTCAAACCACTGTTGGCCATGTGGAATCTGGCTCCCTTAACTACTAAGCCATGGAGCTGGCCCAATTTTGGTTTGAAACAGTTGAAAATTTAGAGTTTATAAAAGCCTCATGATGTACTCTGACTTCCAAGGCTAAGTGTCACCAAGACAGGAAATATCAAGTGCCTGTTTGCTTACTCAGGAAAGCAAATTGCTAGACTTAACAAGGGATTGCCTGAGACGATAATCTGCATTAACGGGATCAGAGATGGAGATGACTATCTTTCCTACTTACATTCTAAAGACCTTCCTTCCTCCATCTTACTTCATCCCAACAACTAATCTGATGATCAGAAAATCTACACAGGAGGGACAGGAGAGATTTGCTTAATATCATAGTCTCCTTCTAATAAGGCATGGTTTGGGCTAACCTTTTTTCTTTTTAATGTACGCTCTTTTTTAGCCTGATATTTTTTCCTTTTGAAAACCATGAAACTACTTTGCATTCGTGAAGAATATAATAAGTGAGGGCCGGCAGGTGGCCTGATGGTTAATGGAGCTAAACTCCCACATGGCTGACCATGGTTAGAGTCCCGGACCTGGTAGCTTGCTCTCTCACTTTCTCTCTCTCTCGCTCTGTCTCTCTCTGGCCAAATCAAAAAAAAAAAAAAAGTAAATAAATAAAGTTCAATAGAATAATTACATAAAAAATATAGCTAGTATAAAGAAATAAGAAAACAGTAAAAGAAATAAGCTAATAAAGCAAGTATTAAAGGGTGCAAAGTAATGATAAATTTTATCTTATGTATATTTTACTACAATTTATAAAAACAGAGTAACCATATAAGACAGAAGACTAACATCAAGAGGCAGCACATATGCAGTTTATTACAATTGCATAATGAGACCCAGGTGAAGGAGAATTCCAACATCCTTACAAAAGCACTGAAGAAACAAAAGCATCAAAAACAAACAAAATCAGACATTAAAAGGGAGGAATTCTTCATGCCATGGTAATACTGCTTCTTCTTACAAAAGTAAAAAAGAAATGTCAAGATCATTTCCATATCCCTTGAACCACAGTGTCAAATTCTTTTTTTCATTTACTCATTACTCAGGGTATACAAGAAATCCTCCCTCGATATTAGGAATGCACTACAGAGATACTCAAATGGAAGAAACTTATATAGTGGACACACATGACCATCCAACGTGGCAAAGTAATCTAATCTTGAGCACACTCGTCTCAAACGACTGCCAGACTGCAGTGATGGGTCAAACTCTCTCCTTACCTAAAGGAGTGTGAAAAGGCTTGCAATCTGTAAGAAGCCAGAGTAAGCATTAAAAAAGAAAGAAGTTCTGATAAATCTGAAACAATTAAATAACCTACTTTTTAAAAGTTGTATGTTTTACTTGAGCTCTAAATTGCTACACAAGTCAGTCAGCATAAAAAAAAGGAGAGCACCTAACAGATGTGCGTAATTGTCAGAAGGCTTTAAGAAAGCTTACGTTTATTACATTATCCTTAGACTGAGGATACGTCAGATATAATGAGGAAAGAATCTAGTTCTTTTGGTATAAAGGATTATACATTGATCAAACCTATTCAGCCAACAAAATTCTGGTTGTAAAAATCTACTTTCTCCATAAATGAAAAACACAAAGTTTCTCCATAAATGAAAAACACAAAGTCATGCAATCTGAGCATTGTTTTCTATTACACAGAAGTCTTGCATGCCAACAGAAGCAGAGCTGATTTAAAACACGTTTGTCATTTTCAGCACTATTCTACTCCACATGGGTAGAGGAGGGCACAAAAGCACTGTGAAGTGGTTAGATCAAAATGGCAAGGAAAATTCTGCAGACTGATCTAAAATATAAAATGCAAATAAAACACAACAGCTCAAAATCAAGATCTGGGCCTAAGCATGAATGTAGATACAGCTTACAGGTTAGTAGAAAGAGATACATGAAGGTTCCACTAGCATGTTATAGTCACAACATGGGCTAAAAATGTCACAAAGAGGAAATGAAGCCAGGTCTCAATCCAAGCGTGCACATCGATGCCCCTGGACGCATCCCCAGTAAGTCACCAGGCTCTGCTCACAGACACGAACTTGCAACCACCAGAGATATACTTACCCTGTGGATCAAGAGGGACTAAAAAGACACAAAAGTTCACAACCAGAATTTTTCAACCTTAAAGAGATTCATGAAGTTAGACTGCCATGCCCACAAGAATTTAGGCAAGCATTTGTTGAAGGAGCACCTTCCTTCACTCTTAACAGAGGAAAATTCAGCATCGTCTAGAGCCGAAGTCAGGAAACAGATGCAACCACAGTAACATTTTAATTTGCCTCAGCTAGTCAATGAGCAAGGAAGGAAAAGTGAGGACATACTTTACGTCTTCCAGCTTTTTGGTGATGACTGAGCCCACAGATGAAAAGGCAGCCGATGCCTTCTGGCCAGCCTGAGACAAGGTTTCAGAAGTCTTCTTATACCTGTATTTAATGATAAACGAACAGAGCAAAGGAAAGTCACTGAACCTTTCTGATATCAATCATTTCAAGCACAGAAGTCACCACCTGTTGGAGAATTCTAAAAAATATTTTTAAGAACTTCTAAACTCCTAGAGGTTAGGCAGTGGCGTAGCAATGACCTGCAGTGGTCTAAGATGCTGACCCACAGGAGAGGGTTCCAGATTCCCTGAGCATGCCAGGAACACTGGTACCCATCATCTGGGGCTGGAATGAGCTGGAGGTAGATTGTGGCATCAAGATCCTATTGGGAGGGCCAGCAGGTGGCTTGGTAGTTAATAATAATAATAAATAAAATTAAATAATACTTTCAAAAAAAAAGATCCTGTTGGGTGTCCCGTCCCTTTCATTCATTCATGGTTAAAATAAGAGAGGGGGCAAAGGGGGAAAGAAAAAAAACCCTCCTAAACTCCTTTAAGACCACCATGAGCATCTTCACATACTCTTACACTTAAGTTCATGTCAGAGACAATCGTCTGCAGTGCCCTGGTCCAGTAGGAAAGGCAGAGTCAAAGAAATCAGGGTAAAGGCTAAAAACGGTTGTGGAACAAAAGTGAAAATGAACCAGAGTCTGCACACAATTATACCTCTTGTTCCTTCCTTTTCCACATCAGCCAAACAAAATAAAAATGCAATCTATTCCTCAGAGGCCTTTTACAATGTTATCTCCTTCTAAAAAAGAGCCAAAAACAAAACATTGGTTAGGATAGATAGGGCCAATGTGTATTTTATTATCCCAACAAATTTTATGGGCATAGATTTTTTTTAAATGTTGCACGTCTCCAGTGCTACCAAGTAAGGACTTGCTGGACTCTCAGTGAAGTTTATAAATGAGGCACTGCTTAAAAACTGCTCTACTGTAATGTACGCTAAAATGCGAAGGTAGAATTTAACACCTGCCTCTTCCCAGCTTCCTAGGGATTGGGAAGAAACAAACAAAAACAAAAGCCAACAACAACAAAAAATGAAACAGAAGAATAAGGTACCTACCAAAAAAGTTAAGATCCCTGCATTATGGAAATACATGCTCACACAGTTTCACTTACTCTGTCAAGATCAAACACCAAGAACAAACATGGTTTATGGTAACACGAAGAATAGTTTCCTATGTGTTTTCCCACCGCCCACTCATATAGGTAGAAAATGGAGCGAAGAGTGTGCACCTGAGTACTGTCAAATGCGGCTGGCGCTGCCCCTGATGACTAGGTTGCAGACAACCCCTAAGCTCACCAGCAGATGGGACTGAACACAGAAGACAGGGAAGAGTTGGGGGTCTTTTACGAGAAACTTGCTCCTCCTCATGCCAGGAAAAAAGAAAAAAAAAACTGCACTATGACAGTGCCGTATTATGATCTGTGTGACCAAAAGACAAAATGTTTAAGGGGTTGGCCTCTTCTATAAGCACATTATGGGAATACAACCTGAGAATCCTATGATGTGCACTTAGCAGAGTACAAAAGAGACTGGCTCTACAGTAGGCCAGAACTGAGTTCAAATCCTGACTCCTTAAATTGAGAGATTTGTCAGGTCAAAACTTAACCTACGTGAGCTGCTGCCTTAACTAGGGTTATGTCATCGCCCACCCTACTGGATTATTCTGAGGACTAAATGACAAAATGTACATATTTGGTAAGTCAGTATACAACGTTTTTGGAACCTGAATTTTATTTCTTCATATCTGAGACTGGTTATTTTTTTTTGGAGAGGGTTTTTGCTATCGGGCGTGTGTGCACGTGCCAGAAAGAGAGAGACAGAAAGCAAGAAATCACACCCGGGGGTAGGGGGGATAGCCATGCTGCAATCCCTTCTCCTCCATTCTCCTCTTGGGATCTTGGGCACGCACGCACACGCGCCTGGTATGAGTTTAAGCTACCGAGTCCGAGACTCAAACTGTAGTCGACTACATGGGAGTCCAGCGACATAGCCATTATGCCAAACTGCTGGTCCGTGAGGCTGGTTTTCTTTCTATTCTCTAGAACAGTGTGCAAAACCAAAGTAAGAAAAGAGTTGAGTATACTTGGGAACTGGGGAGTGCTCTGTGCAGCCCAAAGAAAAGGTACAGAAGTGTTTTTGTCCCCCTTTTTCTTCCTCTCCCCAGGCAAAAGAAGCAAACGTGGCTTCTACGTTCTCTAGAAAAAAATGTAAAGTCAAGGGAACATACGCGGATGTTGCTGTCACGTCTTGCCACCCTTTGGCAATGTTCTGTTTTAGTTCCTGTAGGGAATTGATTCCAAGTTTCCGCTTGATCTCAGCTAGATGCTTCTCTTTGGCTGCTAACACCTGAGACAGAGTCTGGATTTCCTCTTCTACCTATGAGGAAGAAGGTTGGGGTAGGAACACAGCAACGATCAGTCTGTACATTAAGATTACTAGTGTAAACGCATTCTCAATATTCTGGAGTCCTTTAAATTTGTTTTTTATTCATTGATCTGTCTCTTTAAAAATACATATATGAAGTTGTTAAGTAGACTGGTTACATGCTGAACCTCCTGTGGGGCTTTTCTTTCCCCTCCCAGGGCAGGTCTTTATATTCCAGTCTTGGCTTGGCCTTGGTATCGGCCTTCTCCCCTCCCGCTCTACTTCCTATTCAGCTACCTCACACAGGTGACGGCTCAGAACTTCTACACGGATGTTACTCAAATTACTCTCGAATCCACCATCCTGACTTCTGGGTCTGCCTTTCCAGCTAGACATTTCTACTTGAACACCTGTAACGACTCATACTTGTATATGAGTCAAACTCATCTCCGTCCTCCACCAAAGCACACACAACCAAGGCAGCCTAAAGTCTAAGCTTCTTGCTTATTTCATATGAGTTTATAATGGAGATAGCCTAGATAGATCAGCCCCAGTATTTGCTAAAGCCACCAACATAATAAGTCAAACTACCTCCCGACACAGCCCTACAGAAGTTCCACATGGATTGTGCTATTGTTGGAATGCCCACAAAATTCACAAACTGATATTTATTTAGGTGTGAGGGGATTAAGAGGGTGAAAATGTAATCCCATTCCAGTGTTGAAAGGTGGGGCCCGGGAGAAGTGACTAGGCATGGGGTGAGGGATGTCTCAAGACTGAGTTCAGGTGGGTTTCTAAAGACAGATAGTGAGTCGGACAGAGACTCATGCTCTCCTGCTTTTCATCATGGTGTATCCCCTGGACCTTGCACTCCCTAACTGTAACATAAATAAATCTCTACGTTTATAAATCACCCAGACTCAGATATTTTTACTATTAGCAAAAAAATGAACTAGGACAGACCCTTAATGCCAACTAAAAAGACACACCCAGATGGTTAAAGGTGAGGCCTTGAGCCAAGGAAGCCACTGATTAAGTGGCCAAGAAAAAGTGATATTCCTGCTATGAAAAGAGGGGCTTGATTAATCAGCTGCTCTCATCCGGGAACCTGACTTGAAAAATCTACGAAACACTGGGAGGAAATGCTGAAAAGACCTAAAGAAAGAAGCTTTCAGGCATATGAGTTAATAAGATGTTGTGGACTCAAACTGTGATCGGCCATGTGGGAGTCCAGCACCTTAACCACTACACCACAGCTTAAATACATTGGAGGAGGCCAAAGTTGGAAGTAGAAGCTATGAAGAAAGGAAACCGACCTCCAGAGTAGAGGAAAAGGTTAAGTCATGAAAACGGGGAAGGGGGCAGACTCAGAACAGACAGCATGCGGGAGAGTTTTTTGTTGTTGTTGTTGTCCCAGGGAGCTGAGAAAGTGAGTCCCTACAGTACATTCATAAATATTCAAAACCCTTAGAGGGATGTTCCCCCAGGCTTACTGCAGAGCCACACTCTCAGTCTGACCTGCACAGCACTTCTATGATATCAAAGACAATACAGCTTTTAAAAAATAACACACAGTACTGCTAAGTAAACTCTTTCGACTGCTAATTAAATATTTAGAGAACATGAGACAGAGGAAAATAGTACTTGGTAATGGAGAAAAGGATAAACCAAATATGATATGGCTGCCAGAAAAAATTAATAAATAAAATAACAACCTACAGCCTAGCTCTTTAGTGGCATGAACCGGACTGCAGGTCCAGCACAGATAAGCACCTGTGCTTGTCAGACAAGATCTCAAGTGTTGTTTCTCCAGCTTTGAAAATCACACATTGAGATGTACACTGACAAAGCAGAATAAGAGGAAAAAATATCTAAGAAAGGAGAAATTAATAAGGCTCAAAATCAAATAAACTAAATGAATTGCCCAAAGTCATCAAACCAATAATGTAGGAACCAGAATTTCAACCCAGATATTCTGATCTACTTGTCAATTGATGGCTAACTTTCACTGTACACTCTTATTCCAATATGTTCCTCTTTACTCAAACTCCAAACTTCAGATTTATCAAACAGACTTAAATGATAAGTTTCCTATTCCTTAACACTTTTCCGAGGTATGTTTCCTCTAATAAAAGTTGGAAAGAAAGACCACTGTAATCTTTCCGAAGTACCGAGCATAATTCGTGCTTTTATTGGTTAGCTTGTGCTGCCAACATACCGAGCCCAGCATATCACAACTTTAATTCTTTATTTCAACATTTAGACACAGAATAGAATGCCTTAAAAGCATAAAGGAGAACATAATTAAGAATCCCTGATGTAACTCAAAAATAATGAGTAGGAAAGTTACTACAAAGTTAATTAAGACTGAGGTACTTAATATAAGCAAGACATATAGATCAAGGGAATAGAATTTAAAAAGGGGGCAGGAATAGAATTAAAAGTGTAGAAATAAGCCTATATTCTATGGTCAGTTTTTGACAAAGATGCCAAGAAAATTTGGTGAAGAAAGAACAGGTTTTTTTCCCCCAGTCTGTTAGATCCCAAACACATTTTCCTACGTCAAGAATAAAGTTGGCCATACATCAAAATTAACTCGAAGTAGATCAGAAACCTAAATGTCATGGCTATACCATGTTTTCTTAGAAGAAAACAGCAAGGTAAATGATCAAGATCTTGAACTAGGCATGGTTTCTTAGATATGACACCAAAAGTACAAGTGACAAAAAAACAAAAACAGATGACTGAATTTCACCAAAATTCATAAAGCTGCTATGGGAACCAGCAGGTGGCGTAATGGCTGGACTCCCATGTAGTCAACTACAGTTCAAGTCCTGGACCCGGCGGCTTAAATTCACGCTGGATGGCATGTGCTTGCGTGCCCAAGATCCCAAGAGGAGAATGGAGGAGAAGGGACTGCGGCATAGCCAGCTCTCTGGGGGGTGATTTCTCATTTTCTGTCTGTCTCTCTTTGTCTTTGCGCACCGGTCCCTAAGAAAAAAAAAAAAAAAAAAAAAAAAAAAAAAAAAGCTGTTGTGTTGTAAAGGACATTATCAAAGTAAAAAGATGACCAAAAGAATGGAGGAAATAGGCCCAGGGTAGGCAGCACAGTCCACAGAGCACTTGACTATATTCTGGAAGCCATATGGTCACCCATGGGTGTAGATCCTGGGTCAGCGTGAAGACATGCTGAGTGTGTGCACATGTGGAGGGCTGGGGAAGGGGACAGTGACATAACAAGATGCTGTCAAGGGTAATATTCTCTATCTTCCGCTCTCTGCCATACACATGCGTGCACATGCACTATCAGAAAAATATGAGGGAAATATATGCAAATTAAGTGAAGAAGAGTTCAATAATTTGTAGAAAGTGGAATTAAAATACAGGTTTATTTTGGAAAAAAAAAAATTCTGAAATCCTGGGTCCGGCAGGTGGCGTGGTGGTTAAGGGCACTGGACTCCCACATGGCTAACCACAGTTTGAGTCCCAGACCTGGAGGCTTGCTTTCTCACTTTCCCTCTCTCTCTCTCTTGCTCTCACTCTCACTCTTGCTCTATCCCTCTCTGGTCAAATTAAAAAATAAATAAATAAAGTTAAAATAAAATAATTCTTTAAAAAAAATTTTGAAATCCATGCATTAATATGCATTTCTCCAAACTTTTTTTTTATGTCTGCTAAGGGTCTATTATCTCATATATCTGTTAAGGATCTAATATCCAGAACATATAAAGAGAGTTACAACTAAATAACAAAAGTACAAATAACCCAATTTAAAAACGGGGAAATGGGCAAAGACATAGCTAGACATTTCTACAAGAAGATGTATACACAACTAAAAAGCACATGAAAAGATGTTTAACACTATGCCTTAGCAGTTAGAGAAATACAAATCAGAACTACAAGATACTACTTCATTACCATTAAGATAGCTATAATAAAAAAGATGACATTCACAAGTTCACAGGGATGTAGAGAAACTGGAACTCTCAGACACTAAGATAGGAATGTAAACTGATGTAGTTTGGCAGCAAAGTACTTTGACGGTTCCTCAAAGAGTTAAACACAGAGACCTACCATATGACACAGCAATTCCACTTCTAGGTAATAACCAAGGGAATTGAAAACATGTGTTCACTCAAAAATCTCTATACACTTGTTCACTGAGCCTAAAAGTGGAAATGATAAAACTGTCCACCAATTGAAGACTGGATAAACAAAATGTGGTTTACCTGCACCGTAGATTATTATTCAGTCATAAAAAGGAAATGCTGATACATGCTACAACACAGATGAACCTTGGAATATTATACACACATTGTATGATATATAGCACAGGTTGTACAATTCCATTTATATCAAATGTCCAGAACAGACAAATCTATCAATTCAGAAATTAGATTAGTAGTTGCCAGAGGCTGCAGAGAGAGGACTGGGATTGATGGGCAATGGGAACAGGGAATTTTGGGACTGATGAAAATGTTCTGGAGTTATATGGTGGTGGTAATTGTACGACCTTATGAAGATACATAAACCACTGAACTGTACACTTTAAAAGGGTGAATTTGATGATATATAAATTATCTCTCAAAAAGGAGTAAAAAAGAGTGAGAGGGTTTAATATCCACATTCTACTTAAGTTTCTATAGTTATTTCAAGCAATGACTGACATAAAACCTTTCCCACATGAAAACTATCATTGCTTTTAAATGTAAATAATTTTATTATAGCTAATTATTACTATAGATTAAGTATCACTAATCCAAAAATTTGAAATCCAAAATGCTCCAAAATCTGAGGCTTTATGAGCACCAACACACTACGAATGGAAAATTCCTTATCTGACCTCATGCAACTTACATTTTAAAACACTGTATAAAATTATTTTCAAGTTCTAAAAATAATATGTATATGAAACATAAGTGAATTTCAAGTTTAGGCTTAAAGCATTAAGAGCTAATTCTATAAAAAGTCACGGGAAACAGGTAAATTGAGATTTGGAAATGGATTCTTAGATATAACACTAAAAGCACAGCAACTAAATAATTACTTGATTAAACTACCAATACATCAAAATGGAAAACATTAGTGCATCAAAGGGCACTATAAAGTGAAAAGGGACCAGCCTAGTACTGCAGCTAAGCATGTGCTTGGGAAGCCAGATCCCATAGGGCCAACTGTGGACAGAATCCAAGACTCAGAGGCTTGAAACATACACCAGGCACGTGTGTGTGTGCCCAAACTCCTGATAGGAAGGAGAAATGGAAGAAGGGGATTTCAGCATGACCATGCCCTGCTGGCAGGGTTCTCATTCTCTCTCTCTCTCTCTCTCTCTGGAAATATTAATAGAAAAAAAAGAAAAAAGAAAAGAAAGTTAGCCTACAAAATGAGAGAAAATATTTGCAAATCACACATCTAATAAGAATCTAGTATACAGAATATGTATATATACTTAGCCACAGAGAGACAAACAACCTAGTTTTTTAAATGGGCTAAGGACTGGAACACATACTTTTCCAAAGTACCTATACAAAAAGCCAATAAGTACATGAACAGATGTTCAATATCATTAGGAAAAGACAAACCACAACCACAATGAGATACTGCTTCACACCCACTAGAGTGGCTATACTCAGAAAAACAGAAAGTAATAAATGCTGCCAAGCATATGCAGAAATTGCTAATGAGAATTTGAAATGGTGTCATTCCTGTGGTAAACAGTTTGGCTGTTCCCCCAAGAAGTTAAACATGGAGTTACCATAAGACAAAGTAATTCCACTTCTAGGAATACATACAACAGAACCCAAACTAGGTATTGCAACAAGTATTTGTACATAAATGATCCTAGTTCACTATCCACAATATTCAAAAGGTGGAAACCACCCAAATGCCCACCAGTGGAATAATGGAAATGCAAAATATGATAGATACAGACAAAAGAATATTATTTAGCCATAAAAAAGGAATGAAGTATTAATACATGTTACAACATAAACATCAAAAGGTTATAGCAAGTGAAAGACGCCAGATACGAAAGGTCACATACTGTATGATTCCATTTCTACATCCAAAACATAGTTAAATCCACAGAGACAAAGCAGAGAAGCTGTTGTCACGGACTGAAGAAGGGGAGACTGAGGAGTGACTGCCTAACGAGTCCAAGGTGATGGTTGCCCAACACTGAATGTGCTAAATGCCACCGAATGGTACACTTTAAATGGCTAATACTATAGAAGGAGAGTAGATAGAAAAGAAGAGAGTTAGGAAGGAAGGAAGGGAGGGAGAGAGGGAGGAAGGAAAAATGGATGTCAGTGAGTTCAGAAGCTGGAAGAAAGGAGGGAGGGAAGGGAGAAAGGAAAAGGAAGGGAGGGAAAGAAGTTCATTCAAAGGTACCTGTCTTCTCAACATAGCCAAGGGCAGAAAGAAGTCTTCTGGCCTTTCGCCACCCACCTCCCATCTGTTTCCGACTTCAAAACCTGTGTTAGCCATATATGCGTCTTCTCATATCCAGAGATCGCCTCCCCCTCCTCTCCCCTCCCCACGACCTCTAGGACAGGGAAGCACCTGGTGCTTTCTCACTCCAGGGACCCACTCTAAGGTGTTACTGTGCACGTCAGAAACACAAATGACAGTACAAACAGCAACACGTGAAGTTCCCAAAGCACTGGTTCCTCACCTTCGCGAGTTCTCGCCTCAGCTCTTCCTGCTCCTCCTCGGTCAGGGTCTCTGTGGCTCCCATCGTCGCAGCGGCATCTTCCCCCTCCTCAGGGACCGTGTCTGTTCTCAGCAGACCTAGTTGGAGATTTGTTAGGGTCTGTAAGTGTGCAGGCTAAGCAAAATTCTCCCCGGGCCGCTCCACCCTCCCCACCGGAATAAAGCCAGCTAGGTAGATCCACACCTCCTAGACCTTCAAATGACCTGGCTTCCCCAGGGGAGGAGGAAGAAAAGTCTGGGCTAACCACTAAAAGCCACCAATTTAGATGATACTAAAATCTAAATTTAGAAAACAACATTTTGTCTGCTTCTATTCAGATTCTCAGTCAACACATACTGGGCTGTCAGGAAAGTCACGACGTCCTGGGTTGTTGTGAAAGTTATGACTCATTTTTGCATAGAAAATAGGTCATGACTTTCCCGACGATCTAATATTTTTCTACATAAAGATGCATCATGACTTCCTGGGGGTGATTCATTCTCTCTCTCTCCCTCGCACAAGTGCCCTGTGACACCTTCCCCCACAAAAAAGTGATAATCGCCACCGCTAGTAAGACAGTACCAAAACAGTGCCTACCTGGAAGGCGTTAACAGAAATATTAACGGCACATAAGTTTGTCAGATGAAACCATTTAAAACCCGCAAGTGAACTGGCAAACGGAATGTGAAGCAGCTCTCGAATGCACAGATACTATTCACAGGTACGATCGACAGGTGGAACAGCTCCATGAGTATCGGCTTCTGTGGGTCTCCTTTAAATATCTGAGCAGACTGCCCAAGTACTAACAATCTGAGTACGTCATTCTTTAGCTTAATCCTTCAGTGGTTCCTTCCCATTTTCAAAGCAAAGTCCACTCCCCTAGCTGAGCACACAGGCTTTCCTGCACCATCTCTCCCTATCGGGCCTTGGCACCTCTTACTCCATCTCCAGCCAAAGCAAACTGTGAACAAGGTGCTCTACCACGTACTGCCAGAAGCCGTTTCCGAAGCTCTGTGCATGCAGTACATTTATCTTCCTTGTCAGATCATGTGATGAAGGGGGCATGAGGCTGGGGATGGGAGTCAAGCAACCAAGTAACATCCAGAATCCACAATATCTGTGTACTAAAAACACAGGATACAGGGTAATATTTTGTATATAAAAACACAGTAAGAACTGTAATATTGCCAACCTATAAATTCTTTCTTTATATACTTTTTTAAAGGCTTTTGCCATACCGTGTATGTCCTCACCAGAGACACAGAGAGGAAAAGTGAGAAATCACCCTCTCTCCCCACAAGTGACGGCCACGCTGCAATCCCTTCTCCTCCATTCTCCTCTAGGAACCTTGAGCATGCATGCACATGCATCTGGTGTGGTTTTTAAGCTGCCAAGTCCAGGAATTGAACCATGGTCAGCTACATGGGAACGTAGTGCCTCAAATACCAGGTCACGTGCTGACCCCAACATTCTTTATTTTTAATGCTCTTCTCTTAATTTCCAAGTTTTCCAACTAGAACAAGACCCAAAATCAAAACTAACTAACAAAACTCAAGTATTAAACCATGCGTAAAAATAGCAAAGACTCTCTCTTGCTTTTAAATAAAAACTACTTTGCAAGTCTACTTATACAAGGGGAAAAATACAGTATCTGACTGCCAACAATGCTTTATGCACACTGCCCAATTCCAAAGTGAAATTAAGAGGTTTCTAATACTATTCAAGAACTTAACGAGGCTACCAAGGAACATAAATGTCTCAGAAAAGAAAGCCATGGGGTTATCCACAGTGGGCTTCAGGAGCACAAATAAGATCTTGAGATAGTACATTCAGCCTCTAAGAAAGTTGGCAATTCCATATTCTGGTTTTTTCACATTAGCCTGTAGGTGGCAGCAAATCACCAACACTACAATGTAAAGATACAGTTTGTACTAAGATAACTGATTGGGAGAAAAAATAAGAAAATGAAAAATACGAAGGAGGGCAGAATGGTAGATACCAAAATCACCAGCAAAACATACCAGTTATGCTTTGGGGAAATTATTAACCACAATCATCACCACAGAGTGCATTCTATCTTGAGCTAAGAGGTCCAAACCAGCCATCTACATGCAGCATTTCTGTGCAGTGGGGATCACTTACGAATGAAGAAACTGAAGCTTGCAGAGGTTAGGCAGCTAGCCCAAGGCCACACTGACAAAACTGTGGCAGAGTTAGGATTTTGCACCCAGCCAGATTTGAAAGCAGATGCTTCAAATTACTGCTCTGGAAATAAAGATAAAACTAAGGAGCTGAGGGGTCAGACTGAGAAGGTGCCAATTAGTAATCATTGCTTAGATTCTCTAAAATGTAAAAGAATCCAGCAGACTAGATCTAAAGCAAAACTTCGTCATTTCTAACTCTGCAGTTTTCCCAAGCCTGAGAATCCTAATTGTGCCTTACACATTTTTCTGGATACACCCTGTATGCTGTATACAATATGCAGTAACATAGTATTTAATATAAAGGTAGATTCTGGCTTTTGAGAGAAAATATATTAATGTCTCATTCATATGACATATAAAATGAAAGAAAGGAAATGAGGACATTTCAACGTATGGGTTACTTAAAACTATATAATCCAAAAAATGTAAATTTGTTTCTTAAGTTTAATGTTTCTCTTCCAAGTCTGATGAGAAGCTGTTGTTAAATGAAAAGGGGGTGGGGGGGGGAACAGCAGGTGGTAGGGTAGTTAAGATGCTAGATTCTCATAAGGCTGACCACAATTCAAGTGCCAGACCCGGAAGTTTGAAAATCAGGCTGGGCACATGCATGCATGCCCAAAATTCTGAGAGAATGGAGGAAAAGGGATTGCTGTATTGGCCATCCTCCCAGGAGGAGGGGATTTCTTATTTTCTCCCTCCCTCCCTCCCTCCCTCCCTCCCATTTCTCATTTTCTCCCTCCCTCCCTCCCTCCCTCTGTCTCTCTCTCCCTGCCCCCCTGACAAGCACAAGTGCCCTATGGCAAAAACTTTTTTAAAAAAGAGAAGGAAATATGACCAATATTTACTGACATACATGAGCCACTATGAGGGGACATGTACAAATTATCTCCTAAAAACAAAATCACACCCCGAGGGTATGAGAAACTATGGAGATCCCTGGCCTGAAACCACTAATCAGATTATTAACATCTCAGCCACTGCCTTAATTCTTCATCTCAGTTTGCAAAAAGATTGCCAGCCTATCTTCAATTCCACCTGCAGGTTTCCCCTGAAGAGTGGTGAGCAGAGGAATAATAGTCTCAACATGTGTTTTGAGAAGTCCTTCCAGACGCAGGGTAGAGGGGCCCGGATGGTAAGTGGTTGGAGTCCACTGAAAGGGCAGCTCCTGGACACCTGGCGGGGGGACACCCGTCTCAGGTAAGGTGGGCAGAATCTGCACCCCACCCACCACAAGACTCCTTTGCACAATTGTACTTCTACATCCTTGAACTTGAGAGGCACTGTGCACTGGCCAGCTAAGCAGTCATGATGTAGTTTATCACCTGCAACCACACTTCAAAATTTGCAAAAGGGATATCCCTTTTCCAAATAGCTTTTTCAGTGGCTTAGAAAATCCCAGATCCAATTACACATTTCTCTTTTAAGAAAGGCTGCATCACAGACTTTTTGCATGAGGAAAATAAATAGGACAGACACAGCTTATTTCTAATTGAAAATACAATGACTGTGAAAAGGTTTTAGGAAAACATTAACTTTTTTACTTGAAAAAATATGCAAAAGGGAAAAAAAATATGCAAAAGGGAGCCAGCAGATGGAGTAATGGTTATATCACTGGACTTTCACATAGTTGACCATGGTTCGAGTCCCAGGCCCGGTAGCTTGAGACTCAGGCCGGGCATGTGTGCATGCATGTCCCCCCAAAAAAATCCCAAGAGAAGCTTAAAGAAGGGATTGTGGTGTGGCCATCACCCCTGAGATGCAATTTCTTGCTTTCTGTCTCTGTATCTCTCTCTGGCTCTCTGGCAAGCACATGTGCCCTATAGCAAAAATCTATCAAGAAACACACACACACAAAAGAAACACAAAAGAGTGTGATGGTCAAGGTACATGTCTGAATAAATCTAAAATAACTTCAACAAGCATATTAAAACCACCAGGGCCAGCTGGTGATGCAGCAGCAACGTGATGCTCTGTGGTACTGCATTCACATGGAAGGATTTTAAGTCCCCGAGCCTGGATTCAGGCCACGTGGTTGACCACATGGAATGCAGCTCCCTTGACCACTAGGCCAAGAGGTTAGCCTGTGTGGTGTCTTAGAGCCGATGAAATACTCTCCCTCCCTCCCTCTGTCTCTCTCTCCCTGCCCCCCTGACAAGCACAAGTGCCCTATGGCAAAAACTTTTTTAAAAAAGAGAAGGAAATATGACCAATATTTACTGACATACATGAGCCACTATGAGGGGACATGTACAAATTATCTCCTAAAAACAAAATCACACCCCGAGGGTATGAGAAACTATGGAGATCCCTGGCCTGAAACCACTAATCAGATTATTAACATCTCAGCCACTGCCTTAATTCTTCATCTCAGTTTGCAAAAAGATTGCCAGTCTATCTTCAATTCCACCTGCAGGTTTCCCCTGAAGAGTGGTGAGCAGAGGAATAATAGTCTCAACATGTGTTTTGAGAAGTCCTTCCAGACGCAGGGTAGAGGGGCCCGGATGGTAAGTGGTTGGAGTCCACTGAAAGGGCAGCTCCTGGACACCTGGCGGGGGGACACCCGTCTCAGGTAAGGTGGGCAGAATCTGCACCCCACCCACCACAAGACTCCTTTGCACAATTGTACTTCTACATCCTTGAACTTGAGAGGCACTGTGCACTGGCCAGCTAAGCAGTCATGATGTAGTTTATCACCTGCAACCACACTTCAAAATTTGCAAAAGGGATATCCCTTTTCCAAATAGCTTTTTCAGTGGCTTAGAAAATCCCAGATCCAATTACACATTTCTCTTTTAAGAAAGGCTGCATCACAGACTTTTTGCATGAGGAAAATAAATAGGACAGACACAGCTTATTTCTAATTGAAAATACAATGACTGTGAAAAGGTTTTAGG